AACCTCACATCAAAAACCATGCAAGTTCTCCAGGATGAAAGGTGGCTAATGCGACTCCATTTTTTAAGGAGTTCAGAGGTGTGCCAGGGTGTGCCATGTTTATTTACCAGTCAATAAACATGACATCTGCAGCATGAAGGCTGCAGGCTGAGTATGAGCCAGCAGTGTGCCCCGGTGGCCAATAAGGCCAATAGCATCCTGGCCTGTATCAGGAACTCAAGCTCTGTGCAGACCTGGAAAATGTGTATGTGGAAAAAAAATGAGGCAAATAAGATTGTTGATGATACTACATTATTTAAGAAGGTAAATAAATAACTTCAGAGTAGCAGAAAAAAAGCTCACAACATTGAGTAACTGGGCAATAAAAAGGCAGATGAAATTCTTCACAGATATTAGGTAAGACATATGAGGAAAAAACAAAGCAATTTTGCATAAGGAGTACTGGACTTGGAGCTGGATATTAGCTTTCAGGAATATTCAGTTCTACCAAAAGGTCAGGTCAATGATCAACAGCAATCAAAGGAAGCAAAATGAATGTTTGAAATTTTTACTGAAGGATCATGGAACTGAACAGAATATCATCATGCCACCACATAAATCAGTACTGCTGCCTTGAGTATCAGGTGCTGCTCTGGTCTCACTAGCTCAAAAACTTGATTGTAAAATGGAAGGGATAATCCTTACGTGGAAGGGTCTCCATGCAAGGATCAATAAGTAGACTAAGACTTTTCAGCTTGCAAAAAGCAGGACTTATGTAGGAATATCGCAGAGGTATAGAAAACTGAGCACCATGACACAACTGCTTATAGCCTATATCATACATGGCACTGAGGAGCATCTAATTAAATAAGCAGAAAGGAAATTCCATTGCACAAATCTTTGCAGGTCCTACAGCCCTCCTACTAAAGGAGGCTGCGGATGGTAAAAAGTTTAAACCAGTTCAAGAAAAAACCCCAGGAGTTCATGAATGAAAGACCCATTAAGAATTTCTAAACACAAAGACTCTGAATACCTGACTCTGGATGTCCCTGATCGGCAGACTACTGCTGCAGTTCTCTGGAGGTATCTGCAGAGGCTTACTGTTTCCTTCTACTTTTCACTGCTTAACCACCTGTGGCGAAGAGTACTGGGCTAGACAGATCATACTTTAAGATCTTGGTCTTACCTAAGACAGTTCTTATGCTGGTGACAAGACAATCAGCAGATGTGACACTGCTCCAGGATGTTTCACCCAAGACCTGAAAAAATACCTGTCAGCAGCCCCACAAGGAATGGGTCAAAACCACCAATAATGTAATTTCTGACCATACTCTGGTAAAAGGCGGGAAGCTCTAGAGAAACTAAATCATAAGAAACTATCAACTGACTGGACATCAAAACAGGGAAGACTTCACCTGTTAAATATTATAATCACAACTAAGAAAAAAGGCATTGTCCACAAAAGCAGGCACTACTGCAGGATTCGGAGACAGCTGAGTAGTCATCACAGAAAGGAGAGAAAATCAGGGCACAGCCTGTCATCTGCTTTGTGGTCATAGATCCAGTGGATGCCATTAGGCCAGGTCCTTGGGGCTGGGGCATCTGAGCACACCTACCAGCAACAGGAACCATAAGGACAGATGATTGCTGAAATTTGGTTCACACTAGTTGCCTCCAGTGAATAAGAGCCTGTCATTTATATGTATTGGGCTCACTTATATTTAATAACTTCTGCTTCCAAGGATTTTCAAGAGCTGATTCTCTGAATGGAGTATTTGCTGAGCTCTGCCACCCTACTTCCACCCTGGGTTAACACCTTCATGCTCACCTCCCACAATGGCTCCAAAAAGAGTCTGTGAAGATTACCCTGCAGACTAGCACTTTGTTACTGGCTGATTTATACAATCACCCTCATTCTACTTGATTGAGAAATCGATCCCTTTTCAGATTATTTTAGAAAGTCACAAGACCCAAACCTGTCTTCTCTTTAAGTGAGCTGCCCGATTCTCAGTGAGAGCTCATGTGCCCTCAGTGCTGTGGTGCTCAAGGCATCCCGAAAGGCTGGGTCCTGCAACCAAGGCTTCCAAGAGTCAGCATGGAGAGGGAGTTTTCTACCAACATATGGATTTCCCACATTCCCTAGCTGAAAACTAGCTACTCTGATATGCATGTTCACATTTATCTTGCTGGCAAAAGGAGGTATAAGTAGAAAATCTCCTATGAGGAAAGAAAGATGATGAAAAGACAATTTTTAGCAGTAGATAACAACTCAGTCTAACTTTGACTTAATGCAATTGTCCCTGCAGAGATAAAACTTGTTTTATGAGAGAAGAAAAAAAAACCAGTTTTTAAAGTACTTTCTCAGCTTAACAGGTGAGACAGTGGGGAAAGACAGCTATTTCTCTTTTAGTTCATCCCTCCGGTAGAAATAAGTTACCATCACAGTTCTGTGTGTGGTACGAGGAGGAACGTAGAAGTGGGGACAGGTATTTCTGCACTGCTTATTCCAGGCAAGAATACACACTAAAAATGTGTGAATCAAAGAGCAGATAGGTAGCTACACAAATGCCCCAGCTGAATCCAACAGTATAAGTCAGAAGAGTAGCTTTCAATACTGAACCAGTAGAAGAAATCAATCAACAAAATTCTCTGGCCAATCTCCCAAACAAGTTTCCCAAACATTTCTGAGATATGGATTTTCATGAAAACTCAAGAGCTGAGAACATTTCTGAACTCTCTCTACTGCTCAGTAAGTCCCATCTGAACTGTTTAAATAGATGGTGCTATTTCATGGCTAATAGGTGATATCAATATTGCAGAAAGATGATTTTTAAGAAGACAAGGTACTATTATATGGTGTTAAAAGGATAACAACTCCTCCTACCCCACCCCAAACCTGCTGTTTTGAAGAACTGATAAAAATTCCCAAAAATCAGGCAGATACAGTCCATACATCAGGCACTCTGCCCACATAATTTAATATTTGGTACTGTGAGTGCTGTAACTGTTACTTACTTGCTAAAGTAAGAAAAAATACATTTGTTAACATTTTAATATGTCCTAGTTCAGGGAATCCTTATTAATTATCTTTCTAATCTAAAGAAATGCTGGTTGTTCAGTAGGCTCTTTTTCCCGCTTCTTCCCTAAATCGATTGTAAAAATTCATGTCAAACTTTAAACATGCCTTAAAATACTGAGCGCTTTTTTTTTTCCTGGAAAATAAACAGACGCATGCCAAAAGGCAAGCTCTACAGAACAAAGCAATGCACACAATGAAAGGGAGGATAAGGGGTTTCAGTTTTAAAGCTTTCACAGCATTACTGTAACTAGCAGTTTTAAAATTTAAGACACTTCAGGACTTTTGTTTGAAAGTCACAGCCTAATTAGAAGTTATGACCAGTTAATTCAAATACCACCATTCCTCTTAGCCTCACTAGAGGCTAGGATCAGCGCAACGCCAAAGAATGGTACTTAAATGTTCAACAGCAGCTGCAGAAGACAATCGCTAACTACACCAGCTGGGGCTTACCATATTGCTGTCTGTCAGATATATTTAATTATCTATTAAAAATATTCCCAACGAATGTGCCACCAGGCTCTGAATGCAGCATTTGTGCATTAAACTACAAAGTGGAAATTAAAATATTAGGATTGTTGTGCCATGCAAACAACTTGGGGGCCATGCTAATTAAAACCAATGCTGCATCCAACAGAAATTGATGGCAAAAAGAAAATACAACTGATGGCAGCTGAGATGTTCTCTCCATCCATTTTTAGTTGGTTATTGATCTAGAAATTGTGAACCAAATGTGTCTATCTTGGCATACTGATTAATGATGTGGCCATTCAACAAATATCTGCAATGGCAAGAGAAGTGACAGTGAGAGCTAACACACTATTTCATGAGTGGAAAGAGGTTTCACTAAGCTTGGGCCTTCAACTTGCCTCACATATTACTAGGGCATGCCCCAGACAGCAATTATGTGAAACCACATCTAAAGGTTCATACCCCAGTTCTTTCCACCTTTTAACTCATGAAGGGTCCTTGCTATGGTATTTCTGACTGGGTATCTATATTAGGTTCAGACCATAACTTCTCTGTTGTAACCAGAAAGCAGTTTACTCACAGTACATAATTTGCAAGGTTCTGAGAACTGCAAAATCACATTGCTACTGGAACAGACTTAGTTACCGGCACGGCCTTCTCCATTAGATACTTGCCACTAAGTAAAGGTCTGTTGAGTGTATAAAGAGGTGGTAGATCTTCTATCTCTGCTATCCTCTGGTATACGGCTCTGGATAGATGATCCCCATGATATAAACTCCCCAAGATGATGCTAGAGAAGTAAATTGGCTCCACAAAGAGGCTAAGTAAGGCTCCTTGAATACCCAATACGTTCCACCTAAGAAGGAGGGAAAAAAAAAACAAAAAAAACAAAAAAAACACTTTCTTTTTAATGGAACAAGTAACATCTGCCAAATATAATAGCAGTCAATCACAATGGACCAGACTTTCAACCCTTTCTCTTGACCAGCACATGACTATGGTAGCATAGCTAAGACACTTGCCAGAATTTCCTAGATCAGCTTATGGGATGCTCAACGAAATCCTGAATAAGATGATGTATAACAACAGGTCTACTGTCAGCATCCACTTCAGAAGCAGACTCCGTAACTTTACTTCCCCACTAACATGTCTGGTGATGCATTTTCCAGAACCCTAATGCCAGAGATGGACTGGGGAAAGCCAAACTGTGAGATCCTCAGTCAGAAACAGTAGCTGATGCCTCCAAAAGACACCTGGCAAGAACGCAAGAAGGATTCTGTCTGCAAGACCTCAGCACTTCATCAGCAAGTGAAAGCTTGTCCTTGTCACCCTAGCCAAAGTGTCCACATCCTGCTGCCAGAAAGGACGTAAGTAGTTGCTTGCAATATCCATGAGTAGGGAGCAAATTGAATCTGAAAACTGAAAATACACAAAGAGTGCATATACTCTTTGCTCACTTTAGCTGCTTCATAGACTCCAAACATAAATCCCTGTCTGCACCAGTGTGACCTACACTGGATCAGGTCTGGTGGCAGGGATATAGCATGCATAGGAGCAAAATACTGAAGTTTTTTTTTTGTAGCTGTGTTCATTTGATCAAGCTCTGACTCTCAATCTGGATATAACAGTCATACAAATTACTTTTTAAAACCTCAAAGTCCCCTGCAGAGTATTTTCACTGTCCTTTTCTCTGAGGTACACCTGCAAACAGCTTAGCACTATTAAAATAGTACAGCTCAACACACAGACACAACCAGCAGGAAGTTTCTTTTAGTGCTCAAATAAAACAGATGAGCACAATGCAAGCTCTTGTGCTCATATAGAATGGTAGTCCTCATTGAAAGGCCCATCCTAAACTGGGTTGCAAGGTTCCCCTAGGAAAACAGGGAACTCTGATGTTGCTAACAGTGTTTCTTGCAGCTCGCGCTGGGATAGCATAGCTACATATCATCGTCCATTCAGGCTAGAAACTATATAGCACAACAGCTTCACTACTGCAAAAACTGAACTACACATTGGCTACACGACTTACAAAATGTTTTTAAAAAGGATAAAACAAAAATTGCAATCCAAGGAAACAATTTGTGTGCATACTTTTACCAAGGATGAAAATGGAGGCAATGTGCATTAGTTTACTCACCTGTCATTAAAAAGGCTGGCCCTAATGAATGAGTAAAAATACTGTGCTAATAAAAGATAAGGCATATTTTACATTGAATAAGGTGTATTTTGTATAACACTGAAAATGCAATCAGCAACGAAATGACAGAGTAAAGATATGAAGTGAAAATTATTGCTTCCTAGGGCCTAGGTGCCTTTTTAAGGACCTTAACATGAATAGAATTTTGTAAACACAGAGGCATTTCAAGTGCCGAATGAATCACAATAGTATTTTCTTGTTATTTGCGGTATTTACCTACATCAAGCATGGAGAATCATATGGACTGCTACAAACACAGATAATACTATGCAAAGAATTCAAGACTAAGCATCGCAAACTGGGGTCTTACAATTGTATCCAAAACATACAGATACGAAATCCAAGTTTCCTTCAGTGAGGCACATCACATTTTACTTTTCATGAACAGTACTTGAGTGACTGACATCCAAAACAAGGCCAAAGCACTCCTCTGGCAAGCCCTAGCTCCCTAAATAAAACCTTTTCCAGACCCTTTTCCTTGCTTCAGCCTTCAGTATTTCCAGAGCTTGTGTTTTGTTGCTTCTTCCCACACTTGGTGACCTTTTCTGGCACAGAAAACGAAAGCTGAAGTTTGTCTTGCTCAACTTCATTTGATTAAACTAAGAGGAGCATGAACACCTGAGCAAGCTTCTGCAAGTTGAACTGTATGAACTAGTACTACATAAGCTACTCTGTGACTGCCCACATGCCTGCTGTTTTGCTGGGGTGTGCTGCATCACATTTACCACTGTCATACATGAGCACTGGATTTGGAGCAGCTGGCTTGCTGCAAGGACAAGGTTTGCAGAAACCATTCATACAACCAAAGCCTCAAGCTCTTAATATTGATTAGGCAGGGTTGGATAGTGGTTAGGTTTATAAACTAGCTTTAAATTTCAATTGTTATAATAAAAGAACATATACGTATTTATAGAAACATATACTTGTATCAGAAACTGGCAGTAGCGCAGAGATAAACATGAAACCCAAATGAAGTTCTGCAGATTGTAACAGAGTCTAAAGGAAGGATGGCACAGAGACTTTCTTGTTGTTCCTTTTTTATACTGTACTTCTTTATCTCAAACAGTAAGTTCTCACTTCCTTTAGTGTGTACACTAAAACCAACCTTTATAGATATAAACTGAGAAGAAGCTACACCAATACCACACAGCAGTTTTCAAAAGGCCACAAGCATTAGCTCCTGAAAAAGTAAAACTGCCTCATCCTTCCAGTTTATAGGCACGAATTGTCAGTACAAATGCCAACAAATCCTGTCAATCTAGTACTAAAGTTAACTGAAACCACAACTTCTTTTGAAGTTAATGGGCCAAATTCTGCATTTCACTATAAACTGTGCAGAGCAGAAACAGCAAAATTTATTACAGAAAAGTTTATTAGTCAGTGTTGCCTTTCCAGTGAAACAATTAAGCAAAGGATTTTTTCTTCACATTAAAAATAGTATCAGAAAAGGGTTAAGTAACTGAAGGGACTTTAATTTAGCTTGCAAATTCAAACCTTCCAAGGATGTAGTTTATAACACAGAAATTAACCTTTCCACACTGCAGTAGAGCAGACATCAACCCTGGCTGCAGCTCAGTATTTGTTCAGGAGCATTTGATGGCTCAAAACAGTGATAACAGAAGATAACTCTCCCACCGTTAATTCAAATTCAGCAGTTTAAATCTCTCCTGCACTGGCCATGGGCAAAAATGCAGCGCTTCCACGTAAAATGAACTGATCTCAGGTCCTGTCTTACCAGGTAGATCACAGAGCAGACTGGACTCATGCAGTTTCTTTTCTCACCATTAAAGCAGGAAAATGGCAACAGAGAAAAGCACTAAAGCACAAGCATAAGCAGAATGCAGGAATGCCACATCATGTCAACGGCGATACCAAAATGCCTAAAGTACAGCGCGTAGACAAGAGATTTGCCAAAGGGGAAGAAAACCTCAGCAGGCAGGGATACAACCTCCAATGTAAAACTCACTGGAAAAATCTGAAAGACTTGTCTTAGCTGAGCATAAAACCAGTGCCTCTTGTGACAGTATTTTACATATTCTGTGAGTGTTCTAGTTTTAAGTTACTACAAGAATTTTCTTTCACAACCTTTACAAAACTTCAAAATAAAACTGACAGTTAAAATACAAGCTTTTATATTGATATAAAGCATGAGCCACAGGATTTAGGTCCAGACTGCCTGCACTTACATACAGTTGCCTTAATTTGAGCTGGGGGTCTAGATCTCATTACAGTTACTGGTTATTTACTCAGCAGCTGAGTAAGACCATGGTTGTTGGGGTGAACAGCTCTCCATCAACCAGTCGGCCATCTAATGCCTGGGAAATTGGGGCACCTGGTGTGGATAGGGACACCTGCAGCCAAATGCCAGCTGTGTGTTCAGTAGCCTGCAATACTCCTTCAACTCCAACTCTGCAGTTCTGCAAGCGAGCAAGGAAAGGCAACCTGACATGATGCCAGAAAGTTCAAACAAAGCCGTAATTACTGATCCTGAACTGGCCTTTTGCTTCAGTGCTGCCTTTTGTGAGACAGAAGATCATTCAGAGTCACCAAGCACTTCAGTTCACTCTCTACCAGGGCTCATTGAGGTGATACTTAAGCCTACCCTGTTTGACAAGGCAACAGACTTTCTAAAGCTTTTCTAGCAATAATTAGAAAAGTACTTAAGCATGAGAAGGGAAACAAAAGCTGCAAATCAAAACCATAGCTCTCCTTTTTCCTCGGACAGGCCAGCCAACACACCCCAATGGCCCTTATGAGCACTGGGATTAGGAAATTCCCTGTTCCCATCACTACACATGTGAGCTACTGCTGCTTTTCTGGCACAAGGAAAAAGAAACTATAACTTTATCTGCCACTGAGCAGCCCCAAACAGTTAAAAACGTAAGAAGGATGACAGTCAAATGATGATGTAATCTGCTGCTGCTATAAAGTGTGAGGCTGCACCCCATCATCTCCCCAGTGCCAAGCCTGACTGAAGAGGACTCTGCCTATCACCACCTTGATCCTCCTCAGCCTGCTAATTTCATTGCTTGTACAGCTCTCTCCATAAAGTCAGATCAGTGACATGAGTCAAGTGTGTTTTTTTAAAAAACAAACAAACCAACCAACCCCTGGCGTCATATTTTGAAGAGGCAGTTCTCTAGTTCAGTTTACAGCATAGCTTCACAAAAACTGCAGGACCACTGCCGAGAGACAGAGATGCAGCACACAGGAGGGATGCAGCACTTGGGCATGGGTGCTGGGAGTCTCCTTAAAACACTTTCTCTATCAGACAATACACTATCAAAAGCACACTCCCAAACCCATCTGAAATTTAGCTTGCTTTTAGAAAGTAAATAGGCACTGGACAAATGATGCTTTTTCCTGCACAGAATCTTACTGATATCAGCGGGGCCACTCTGCTGAGTAAAATGATGCAAGATGGAGCAAACTGTGTGAGAAGCAACAAATTACATCTGGTCTGACATATAACACGTATTCTTTTAGTAATCTCCTATTATTTCTCTCTAAACTCCTGATTATTTCATATAGTCATATATTCAGTGTTTGCTATGAGGAAGAAATAATGCATAGTTACATACAGCTCTCTTATTTGGTATCAGGTTTATTATTTTGTTGAGCAATTTCCATCAAAGTTGTGCCAGCAGATCATCTTT